CGTGCCAATGGATCAGAATATAGTGAAAGTCCCAAGAGCAGGAGCAGGAGCAGGAGCCCCATCGATGATGATGCTGCAAGAGAGAGCCCTAGGGATGGGAGCCCCGTTGAAGAAAATGGACGCAGTCGTAGCCCTAGCCCTGTCCCTGGAGATGATAGAAGCCCCGTTGATGATGATGATGATAACCATGGTTCTCTGAGGGGCAGCGAATCTGCTTAAAAGTGGTTGAACTTTTACTTTAAACACAAGACTGTGTCCAAGACACTGTTGATTCCCATGGTTTATTTCGGCCTTAAAAATTCTCTTTTTAATTGAGATTTGTTTGGAATAATCTGCTATTACACCTTATTTCTCCTGCAGTCAGTCTATGTTTGAGCTTGATATGTACTGGATAATTACATCCGATGTCTGCACACACTGTTGAAAATGGCTCTCTTATCTTTATAGTTTGTCATGTCTTTGTTGCCTTTTTTCCTCTTATTATGATGCGTAGAATGTAGAAATTCTGTTATGCCTTGTCGAAGTTTGGTAATTGGGGTTTTTTTACACTAATGTTATTTTTGGTTGAGAGAGTGAGGGAGGGATTTGGAGGGAGAAAGAAAAAGTGTGTAAAATTAGGTGAAATATAAGTATATTTTATTTATGTTTTACCTAATTTTTCTATTTCTCTTTTTAAATTCCATCTCAAATCTCCCAATCAAAACCCAGCATAAAAGTTTTGGAAGGTGTTTAATCAAGACTCATTTACTTTTTGAGCCAATAATTGAGTCAATTACAAGTTGAACTTGAATTGTTTGTTTTTAAGAGTATATATAACAAGTCTAGCTAAGTAGCATATTTTATCAAATTTATAATGCTAGAGTTTGATTTCAACTAGCATAATTTGTTTACAGCCACTAGTAGCTATGATCCAAGAATTACATGAATAATGTCAGGCAATTGTTGTATGCTTTTAACTGTTTTAAGCCACTTGTTTGTTTGATGATAGAGGTGAAAATGAAAGGAATTTGCTTTTCCTTTTCTGGTAGAGAATGAACGAGTCCTCTCCCTTGCAGTTTGAGAAAATATATTTGAGGTTTACGAGTTTAACGGGGTGATTATTGGATATTTTTGAAGTATGGTCACGTGGTGCTTAATAGTATTATGATTAATGGAGAATGTGAGATATTATGATTGTGTTGGTTGATTGAAGAACATGCGAGGACATCGTGAATGAAGATGATTGGTAAATGAGGATGGACATGTGGTTATTTTGGGAGTGTCTAATAATTTTCCAAGTTTAATTTAGTTATATTGTGGTCCTCGAAGATTTTAATTCACATTATATGTAGTCCAATTTCACCAAAAATTGTTAGTTGGATGGGCGGAAGAAAATTTGATGTTGTTGTTTGATTTATAATAAAAATCATTTCATTAGTTTCGGTCGTCTTAACGGGTGATTATTAGATACTCTTAGGTCATGTTTGTTTGGGCGGACTGGATTAGTATTCCCATGACTAATAATCCTAGGACTACGAATCCGTTGGATTATGTATCCTATCTTAACTAATAGTCAAGTTTAAAATAATTAGTCCGTATTTCAATTGTTTAACCAAACATCAGATTAATAATTTTGTTGGACTATTAGTCAAATCCCAAACTCATGTCCACCCAAATAAACATGACCTTAGAGTATGGTTACGTGGTGCTTAATGGTATTATGATTAGTAGAGTATGTGAGGTATTATGATTTTGTATTGGATGATTGAGAAACATGAGAGGGCATGGTAAATGATAACAACTGGTGAATAAGTATGGACACGTGGTTATTTTGAGAGTATGTAATAATTTTCCAAGTTTAACGTAGTTATATTGCGATCCTCGAAGATTTTAATTCATGTTACATTTAGTCCAATTTTCACCAAAAATTGTTAGTTGGATGGGTGGAAAAAGATTTGATATTGTTGTCTGTTTTATATTAAGAAAAACAAAATCATTTCATTAGTTTCGGCCGCTTTAGTTGTATTAAAAAGAAAATTGGTGTAATTATGTCAAAACTTGTGAAATTTATTATATATATATATATATATTTTTTAGAAAAAATTGGTGAAAAATCCACTCTAACAATTGTCTATTATAAAAGTTCCAGTGGATATTTTTTGTTAGTGAGAGGTCCACATTTTGTGAAATAGTTTGGTAAGAAGTCCAAAAAGACATTTTGTTTTCAATTTTACCCTTAATTTATCTGTTGCTTTTTTTTTATCTGTTAACTTTTTCGTTGACTATCTGTTCAAATTTTTATCTATATGTTCAAATTTTTTTCTTACTTGTTCAAATTTTTTTACCCTATCTGTTTAATTTTTTTATTTTTTCAATTCCAATTTCCCTTATCTGTTTAAATATTTGTCCAAATAAAATTTTACCCGCCAAATTTTTTTATCTGTTCGATTTTCCTCCTATCTGTTTAATTTTTTTTTTTAATCTTTTCAATTCAAATTTGAACAGATCTATTTGTCAAATTATTAATTTTTTTTATAAATTTGTTGCAATCATCATCATCAACAAAAAAAAAAAAAAAAAAAAAATTAGTTTCATCACCACATGCACATAGCAACAACAACACAGATGATTCATTATCTATACAAAAAGAAGCTACTAAGAAAAAAACAGATCAAAAAAATATATATGATGTCATCTATTCAAATTAAAATATTAGGATCTATAATAAAGATGGTTGAATCGATTCAACTTTAGCAAAGTACATCTCATAGGTGTTCAATCTCCTTTTCTCAACCACAATTTTACAACAATAAACAATGGATTACAAGTATGGACATCATATATGTGTATATACATAGGGGGGGGGCGGATTTAAGAGTATCGCCTCCCTCATGATTGACTTCTTCAGCGATAGCACACAACGGAGTTCGATTCGTCTAGCTCTGTTTTTCCGCGCTCTGCCGATACTAGTAGTCAATCATGAACTCAAGAGAGAGAAGATAGAGAAACACTGTGGGGGGAGAGAGAGAGAGAGGACTTTTGGTTTTAGAAAAGAGAGACAGTTTAATATATAGAGGGGTATTTCGGTCATTTTGCTTAGCTATGACCTTATGGACAAAGTGTTTCAGCCTTTGGACCTTTAGCCAAACAAAATTGAAATTTAGATTTTTGGCCCAAGTGCCCTTTTTTTCTAAACCTGAAGATTATCAGTGTATTTACTACTTTCTTTTTAATTTTTTTTTAAAAAAAATATATTTTAATGATAGGTTTAAGGTAAAAACACAATTAATTTTTGATAAAATAAAAACAGCTTAATAAAGAAGTGGTAGAATTGAGTGGTTTTAAACTTTTTTTTGTTTTGGCAAATGAAAACCATGAAACCTAATAGATTGAGATCCTGTAAATTGATCAGAGGCTATAAATTGTAATTTGTACTCCTTAGAAAGGCCTCTCTCAATTTTTAATCCATGTGACCAAATTTTAGCTTTGTGAAGGGAAAATTCTATTTGCACGCTACTCTATTCATTTCAGTTCACACCATGACCTTAATTTTTTTAATTACATTTTTTTATTCCTTGAGCATATCACAAATTTGTCGATTAAGCAAATCACTCCATTTCTCAATACACACCACCTACCCACCATTATTGTTGGAACCCCCTCCTTTCACCACCCCGCTTGCCACCAATTTTGCAGCCAGTCGTTGTCCTACCACATCACGTCCACCATCATCACAACTCCCATCGCCGGCGATACATAACCCTCAAAACCCTTCCCCCTCGCAACCTCTCATCTTCCCCTTACACCTTCATGATCTCTTTATCTCTATTTCTATCACGATTTCTGTGTCTTTCTGTCGCAATTGGCAAAGGTTGTAGTGTTTAGGGTTAGGGTTTAAGAGAAATAAGAGAGGACAACAATGGTTTAAGGATAGGGTTTCAGAGAGAAAAAAGGGAAAGTATGGTGGTGAGAGGATTCATGATGGGTAAAGGGTTCGTTGGTCGATGAGAGGTTGCAGGGGAAGGACCTGAGTGGTTGGGTTTAAGATGGTAAGAGGTAGAGAAAGAGGTGGCAATAATGATGAGAGAAAGGAAAGGTAGGGCTTGGCACCAGTAGTGGTAGATATAGCAATGGAGAGATTCACAAGTTGCAGAGGGGGCAGTGTTCGATAGGGCTAGAACAGGTGTGGTTCGACAGGGCTGAGGGTGGTGGTGGTGGTGGTGGTGGTGGTTGCAACAACTAGATTAGGGTTAGAGTTTGAAATTTGAAAAAGATAAAGGTATTTTAATATTATTCAAAAATTGAAGGGGTGCGAATTGAAAAAAAATTAAAAAGTTTAAATTATATGTAACATGAACTCAGAAAATAGTATGTAGTGGGGGAATTGATGGAGTGAAACCAAATTTCCCTTTTGTGGGGAAACTTCCCTAACATTTCTCCATCTTTTCCTTTCCTTCCCATGACTACCCATATAAGGTCATGATGGGATCTGTAATTTGTGGGAAATAGAATTATTATACATGCTCGTTTATTATAGGTAACTAAACAAAAAAAATAAAAATTATATTTTTTTTTATTTCTTCTTATTTTCCAAACATAATAATAATAATAATAATAACCTTCTACTTCATTTTCTTCTTTATCTTTTTCTCTTCATAAATCTCTCCACATATGCAGCATCCAAATTCCACATATCCTACATCTAAACACAGCTTCAAAATAGTTCTATACCATGTGACTTCATCCCAATTTGAACAAGCTTCATACCCATGTGAATTCTCCATTTTCCTACTCACAAAAAAGAAAAAAACAATACTTTTTCCCCCCAATAATGTGAGAATTTTGACAATAACAATTCATTTATTTATTTTTTATCATCACTTGCAGCAACTGCAATTTTTGGGATGAAAACTGCCAAAGTATTGTTAATTAATAATAATGTTGTTTAACATGGTTGGCAGTTCCTATTTCCTCACCCAAAAAGAAGTTTCCATGAATGAAAAAGCAGAGGAAAATTAGGATGATTGCATATGATACGTCTACCCTCATTCTGAATTCTCTGTGGGCATGTCCAAAATTATTAATGAGGACTTGATCTCAGGTACAACAACAGATCTATGGAAAACATCTTCAGTTGTATTATTCGGGTAAAAATAACAGATGAAAAGTACTATGAAAATATTGAAACAAGTATTTTGCATATATGTACATGGATAGGTCTAAGAAGAATTACCCGGGAAGAAGAAGAAATTGAAAAAGATATGCACGTTTATCAATAGTGAAGTCATTTGCGGTGAGAATGAATGGGACCCCAACAACTTCAGACTTCAACTATACAAACTGATTGACCATGTGGGTTCATGAAATATAAGCCTTGACAACATCTGTGTAGTTGCAGATCAGACCTGTCCTTGGGCAAGTAATTTTACCATTGTTCTTCTTTGCCATTTCTTCGAGAGCCTGTCATTTTGCAGAAGAGAAGAAAGACTAACAAACCAGTTACCAAAAAGGGGAAAAAAAAAAAAAACTTACGTGTAGCAAGAATAATGCAAACCTTAGTGCTGTAGACGTAGCCGTTAGGTAAGACTAGTGGTGGGTTCTCTGTGTCCATAAGCTCTTTAGTTATGTAGCATACAAGCTTCGAATGATGCTGCTTTGAAAATGGTAACGACAATGCTAACTTGCGAAAACTCTCTTGTGATAAAGGGTCTTCTTTGGTGCAATCATCTTCGTAACAGAACCTAAATCAGGTCAAGGTAAAAACATGGACGAAAATGCCAAATTGAAAGAAAAATCTACCGTCAGTCAAGCAGACCATTAAATTTTTTTGGTATGCATTTCAATAACAGACTCTGACCTGAAAAATAGATGCCCAACAATTTTTGAAAGAAAGTCGCAAAATTAAACCCGTTGGTGTTGTCAATGACCATCGCAAGATGAGATAGAATGCAATGATTGGGAAGTTCTATGATGTATTGGATAAATATGGAAAATTAGAAACCCGAGAAAAGACCTCACATGGGTCAAGCAACTAGATTTAAAATTTCAACTCCAATTGTGATGGTACTGCAACCATGAAAACTGTTGAAGGCTAGGCATGGACATTAATTAATGAAGTATTGTTTTCTGAGTCATTTTAATGCATTCATGTTAAAAAACATATTAGTAATGAATGATTGAATATGGATACGGAGTTTTCAGAGCAGACAAGCCTGCTTGCAGGTAAATATTCAGCAATGGCTCAAAGGTCATGCCATATAGCCGGCAGAACTCCTGTTTGAATTGGTCCACTAGGAAATCCCACTGTTCTGGTTCGAAGAAAACCTGAAAAGCATAACAACAAAATTTAAACACAGCATCAACCTAAAAAACATCAGCCCTGAAACTAAAACAAATCATCAATCAAGGTTAGTGTCTAGGCTTATTGTAGAAGAAGAAAAATAAATAAATAAATAAAAACCAAAATTGAGAGCTTAGTTCCAGCTTCAGGTGTAAAATGGATGGACATTGGTTTACCCCTAAACACCTAGTAAGTCATATTTGACAAACTAACAGAGAGCAAGAGCAAGAAAGGATTCAACTACAAACCCTTGTCACAAAGCATCCATAAAATGCCGATATGGAGAAATCAATCAGGTTTGACGTGGATGAAAATGAATTATCTTGCAAGACAGCAAATTAAAAATATCAAACTAAACATTGATTACACCACGAGGTTTTGAGTAGTCAAGTTATCACTTGTATTTGTAGGAACAAAGTTAAAAAAAAAAAAAAAGTAACTTGTCGGGAAATTAGGAAAAGTTGCACAAACCACTCTAAGAAATCATGGTACAGACTCTACATGTGCTACGAGTAAATTTTAAAGCTCAAAACTGAACATTCAACACCCTGAGGTTTGAGTGGTCAAGTTATCTACTGCACTCCACACCCAGAAAGAAAGTAAATAAATAGATGAAGTAATCTATGAGAAAATTAGGTGAAGTTGTATAAAGCACTCTAGAAAATCATGGCATAGAATCTTCATGCATTATAACCATTAGTGAGTTTTCTTAAAATATTATGAAACTATATCACAAAATAGTTTTTACCTTTATTTGCTGTTGTAGTCATCACAGGGATGAAATATTAGTCTATCGTCATTAGTTCTCATAGAATACTCATAAAAGAAGTGGAAATTACACACTTATAAACACACAGAGACAAGCACTTCTTTGTTGCCACTTTTCTCATTTATCGAAATATTTATCATAAAGTGAAATAAAGTACACGGTGGTAAGACTGCCAATGTGTATTTTTTCAGCAAGTATTGTGAAGAAGGGCAGGCCATTTGCAGTTGCATATAGGAGTAGTACCATAGGGAACAAAGAAAGAGGAGGTTCACCTTGTATGTAGCACATTCAGTACTGCTTTTAAAAGCCAGTGTAGCCATGACCTGCTGCAGTTCTTTCATATGGGTAGCTCCCCATGGTGCAAGGTACTTCCGTGCATAAGTAATAGCTCGCAAGTTGTTATCCGCTCGAACCAATTCTATGAACTCTTGAAGTCTCAGCTGGAATTCGAATTTGCTCTGTCATAAGGAAAAGAATTGTGCCATAAACAAGTTTTACATAATGTTTATGAGAAGAAAAGAAATCAGAATAATCTATATTCCATCCATCTTGACAGGATTTTATGAACTTACTATTGCCCAGCACACACCAGGAAAAAATATTTAAAGATGAATTTCACTAAACAATATATTTGACTCTTCAGAAGGAAGAGAGAAAGCATATCCAGATGTGCTTGCTTTCGATATGCACTTTGTCATTTGCAGTGCTTCATTAGCATTGAAGCCTCTTTGAATACCTTGAACTTCTTTATACAAGAATTTTCTTTACTTTTTTATTTTATTTTGGCAAGTCATACAAGCAAAATTTATCCTCTACGCCTTGTTCACATGCACCGATATTCACAGAAAGTGGGTCTCTCAGGGTGATGCTAGGAAATGTGCATATTTATGCATCTTGGGGTGAAAATTCATAATAAAAAATGCCTATCATTCCTGAGGGCTTGTCCTCGTGGCCTACTGGACACTGCTCAAATAGAAGATTCAGATTTAACAGAGGAACATATTAAAAGCAATACAACATTCAACAGTGTGACACCATAATAAACAAAATAAAAAATTATAGTTAGGTAACTTGGCAAAAAATCAACCGAGGTATATCCTAAAAAGATTAAAAAAAAAAAAAAAAAAATCATATCGAAAATATCATATAGAGCAAAAATCAATTAAAAAAAAAACTCAAGCAACCCAAGTTATTACCTTACTAAATAAGGTCATCACACCCTAGTAAGCACAAATACTTCCAAGGTGGAGTCGAGCACTTTTCAGTACGTGTCGGATACTCATCCAAATGTGTTCTATTGTTTTTTTAGACTGGATACACTTAACACACTTGGGGGACATAAATATCCATGGCTTAGTTACAGATGAAACACATTATAAGTTTGAACAAAATAATTTTGGATTTACTTACCCAAATAATTTTTTTTTTGGATATAATGATAAAAGAAAAATAATGTAACCTAGTAATCCCTCATCGTTTAAACTTCAGGAATTTGTGTTACATAAACATTTATTTTAGTGTAAATTACACTCACCTCCCTTGAGGTTTGGGGAAAACACATTTAGCCCCACACTTTTGACATAATTACACTGGTTTCCCTTGAGGCTTTAATTCACATAATGACTAGACCATTTTTCATTAGTAATTTGCTAGCCGTATGAACAAGAAAAATAAATAAAAATAATGTTTGTTTATTTCAGTGTTTATCTGCATTAGTTTTGGTCACTTTGGCTTTACTAAAAGGGAGGTCAACGTAATTAAGCCAAAAGTGTGGGCCTAACTTTATTTTCCTCAAACCTCAAGGGAGGTGAGTGTAATTTACCCTTTATTTTACTACTTTTGAATGAAATGTTCATGTATATGGCATATAATAAATACATAAAACTAAACATTTTGCGCATCCCTCACATGTTGTGTACTTTGTTTTTGAAAATTATTTTGTCGATCTGGCTATGTCATGTGTTTGCGCTTCTTAGCTCACACCATTTGCATATATAGAATTCTTTGATAAGTAAAGTAAATTGTATTAAAAGAAACATTTGTTTTCTCTGCAGCAAATTATCAGTACTAAAAATAGTCTCCCAAACGATTATCCAAACAAAAAAAGCCACTTTTGTTGGCATTCCAGACTTCCAAATAGTCTTCCATGAGATAGATTTCTTTGGCCTCCACAAATCAATGAATGCATCTACCTCATCCTATCCATCCCATTCCTAGGGACACTACCGCTCCATAAAGTAGCCCAAGAAACTCACCCATTGCCTCAAACGCCCAATCTTGTAGAGTTCTTGTCATAACGTTGTAGAGGACACTGGATGGTTGTGGCAGACCGTTGTAGCAGATAAAGTCTGGACAGTTGACGAGGTCATGTCAGACCGTTGTAAAAGCTAACCGGAATCAATGTCGGAACAGTTTATGGATTGGGCACGCCTTTTGATGGCACGCCTTTTGAAAGATTGGGCACACCTTTTGAGGGTGCGACTTTTCCAACGGTCCGACATGACCCCATAAACTGTCCCGACATTTGGGTCGCGTCCCGAGCATTGTGTTCGAGCAAGAGGATGGTCAGCACGGTGGCAACAAGCGTCTCATCTCTGTCCATACCAATCAGATCAAGAAGCTCGTAAACCATCTAGGAAGATCGTTCTTTCTCTCTAGACTCTTTGATCTTGAGGTTCGGTCTGATTTCGAGTCCGATGAGATCATTGAAAAGGTTCGGGTGTTGCCTCGAAAGATTCATCTGCATGCGGGTACAGATGCAGTACTCAATGTGACCTTCATAAGGGCCCCATCTCATGCTTTGTTGAAGGTGGATGTTCCTCTTGTATTTATAGGAGATGATGTTTCACCTGGACTTAAAAAAGGTGCTTATTTGAACATTATCAAGAGAACCGTTAAGTTCCTTTGCCCTGCTGATGTCATCCCTCCCCATATAGAGGTGGATCTGAGCGAGTTGGACGTGGGCCAGAAGCTGGTGATGGGGGACCTCAATGTTCATCCGGCTTTAAAGCTTATTCAGTCGAAGGATCAACCTGATCTCTCTCCCTCTCGGAAAACACTGATCCACTCCACGCACTCACAAAACAGACATGGGCTGCCTCGGGCTCTCTCTCTCCCAAGACCCACACATGGGGAGGGATCTGGACATGCATTTCTTGAGCTGAATTCACTGCACCAACCCATCTCTCTCTTCTCTCTCTCGACATCACCAACCCCATTTTACTTTTCTTCCCTTATTTCTTTATTTTTTCTTTTCCTTCAGTTCTAATAAAACGAGGTTCCCATACCATCATAGAATTTGAGATTCTCAAGTAGTCATCTACCAAGGCTGCTATAGCCTAGAAAGTCACTGGTAGAGGAACATCCCTCCACCATACATACCCATCACCAAGAACAAACCTCACATGCTGGACAAAATCTGACCAAACTCTCCTTACACCTTTCAACAAACCTAGCCCCCCGTATGATTCTCATACCTCGGATGTCCATCCCCTCAAACTGAATCTATAGTAACAATCAATTGCCCTTCTCTATAAATGATCCTCTTCACCATATCTCTACTGAAACTTGCTTAAAGGTTTGATTACCTAAACCATTACTAATAGGAGAGCACACTCCTTCCCAGCATACTAGGTGATACTTTAATTCCTCCCATAGAAGGATCCTTTGAACCTTAGTTGCACGAAGTGTTAAGCTGACAATGAACCTTTGTGTGAGATCGAGCACAAAGCGGGGGCAGGGACGGGAGCATAAGCAGGAGCGGGGGTGGAGGAGCGAGGGCATATAGAAGTTTCTTAGGTTGGGAGTGCCTATGAGAGCGTGCATATATTTGTTTATTAAATATATAATTTATAAAGATATTCTAATAATTAATTTTTGCTGCTTAGTTGGAATATATGTATTAAAATATGAATAAATATTAGAGATTCATGTCAACTACAAATTGTCTTTAAGTATGAATAAATATTATACAAGAGATTCATGTCAACTACAAATTGTCTTTAAGTATGAATAAATATTATACAACTAGAAACTACCAGAATAAGTTTGAATTGTTTTTCTTTTGTTCTATGAGATTTATATGTTTGAGAGGCTTCTATCTCAATTGGGAGCGAGTGTATTTCTCGACGGGAGCGAGTTTCATACAAGTTTCTTACTTGGGAGCGTGGAATTGCATTTTTTATTAAGAAATGCTGCTCAAGTAGAATGTTCCTGCAACTAAGCTCTCAACCTTCTTTAATCTCTTCTCCACCGAAGTGGCATGGTAAAAGAAGACATAAAATAAGTAGACCAACTAGCTAAGGTGTTCTTAATTAGAGATCTTATGCTCTTTAGACACGTACTGTCTTTTCCACCTTACAAACCCTAATAAACATATCAATACACTATAAGTACCTTACAGCTCTAAGAGGAAGACCCAAATACACTGAAGGGACCTGAGAAGAGGGGTATAATGGATCACCTTGCCTCAAAACCAAGAGCCAGACAAAACCCGACAGAGTGCAATTAATTAAAACTGAGGATCTGATTGTAGAGATATATTATCTAATCCACCTCCATTTCAACCAAAAATCCATCCTCTTCATAACAAAATAAAAAAAATCCGTAGCTAACATAATTGTAAGCTTTTTTGATGGCCAACTTATGATCACCCATAACATCACAAAAGTTAGCAACTCACCCCTTTCTTCTTTGGACACCATTAGATGTGGAACACAACATGAAGATTTTGTTTAATTGTAATTTTATGTTTATGTTTATTTAATTTTTTTATCGATAGTTTAAATAGGATCTTAAATAATGTTATGATTTAGTTTCCTATTTTAAATAGGGTTTTAAGCTTTATTAGGTTTTTACATTGTAATCTTTAGCTTTGAGATAATAATTTTCAGTATTAGGTTGTGGCAATTTTTGTGAGATTAGGGTTTTGACCCTTGTATTCTTCTTCTCTCTTCTTATTCTTCTTAAAACTTAGATCTTATTTTTGGATCTATTCTTCATTATATTTTGGTTTTGGGACCAGGTGGATTGTTGAGTGGATCTCTTAATAGCCGTTCTGCACCACCATTTGTTTGTTTGTTGCTACCAATCTCTCCCATCCCAACCTCTAATGTTTGCCTTAGATGTACAAAGCAGGGGCAGGGGCAGGGACAGGAGCAGGATCAGGAGCAGGAGCGGGGTAGAGAGGGTATATAAAAGTTGCTAAGCTTGGAAGTGCCTATGGAAGCATATATATATTTTATATATTTAAATACATAAATATATTCTAAGAATTAATTTTTTTTGCTTAGTTGTAATGTGTCTTAAAATATGACAAATAAAGATTGATGTAAACCACAATTGTCTTTGTCAAGTATAAATAAAATATAATGCAAACAAAAAGTACTATAATAAGTTCAAGTCGTTTTTCTTTTGTTTCTTTGAGATTTGTACGTTTAAGAGTTTCTATCACAGTTGTGAGTTTCTTCTTCGATGAGAGCGAGTTTCTTCCAAGTTTCTTGAGAGCGCAAAAACGAGTTTATGAGTAAGAAACATCACCCAAGTAAGAGTGATGCAGGACAGTGCTGTGGACTGTAATGCTGGATTTTTGTGGGTATTTGTTGTGGTTTCAAGCTGAAAAATAATGTGAAATTTAGGGCTTCTATTAGTGTATGAAAGAATTAGGGTTAAGGCTTAATGTAATAGGAAGGAATATTGATTTTTGGGATTGTTCTAGGTGCTGTAACAGGGCTTCTATTGATTTTTGGGCCGTTAAAAGTGGAGAAAATAAAAGAGGGAAAGAATGAGAAGAAGATAGGTTTAGGAATCACTCCTAAAATCCCTTTAGGCATTATGCCTAGGGTTTGATTGCATCATACAATCCATAAAGAAGCTCCAAAACTTTAAAAAAATCTATTGAATATCAACTCTATTGAATTAGAAGCATTATATGACTTTATATAGGCTTGGAGACTTCCTTATCCAACTAGGTCTCCAAAATAGGAAACTAATAATATTGACTTCCAAAACTTATCTAAGACCCGATAAGAAATGTAGACAAAAACTAATTAAATAACTTGACCCACAAGACAACACATGGGCGACCCACACAACTTATATCCAGAAATTTTGCAAATTACCAAAATACCACTAATCTTAAAACTGACCCAGCAGCTTTATTAACTAAAAGCAAACATAAATAAGACACTTCTAAGACTAGAAACATAGTTATATAAGATTCCTATCAGTTTCTCTTTGAAATCATGCCAATGTCCAAATATCATCACTTCTTTATATTTAGTCTTCATTGAGCTTCTTATACTCTGCATCAAAGAGTTTCCAACTACTAAGCTCTCTGCACTGACACATCCAACCACTTCCAGAAATCTCCCCTTATTGAGAAAGGAGCACATCAAACTTCAATTGTAACCGTGACCCAGTGAATATCATAAAAAGCTCCTCGACCCTTTCTCTATGTTGCCATCTTCATTCTTTCGCACAACTATCGCAAGTTGTCCTTTGATAATCTCACTGATCTACAAATACTTATCCGTCTCTCCACCATTTCAAAACCTCGCCTTCATCGATCATGTAGGTTTCCATTGAATTTGTGTAGAAATTTAATGTATAAAGAGAAATAGAGAATTGTATTATTGATTGATATATGTTGATATTGTGTATATTACAATTACAAGGATTCCTATTATATAGGAGTGTGTTTGGGAGTAGGTGGAGAGTAGGTGAAGTGGAGGTGGTAGTGGTGTAGTGGGTTAGGTTTAGTGGAGTAGGTGAGGTGGTAGTGGTGTAGTGGGTTAGGTTTAGTGGAGTAGGTGAGGTGGTAGTGGTGGTAGGTTTATGGTAAATTCTAACAATTTGGAATAACTCACCATTACCAAGAGAACAGAACATTAAGATGTAAGAATCGAAGTACGAAAGGTGGACAAGGATAACTCAAGTGGATCAATAAATTATTCTCACCAAGAAACCAATAATTGAGCAGCACTTGCCTTAGGCAACTACTTCAGGTTGGCCAATAACTGTTTTTCAATTTTTGAAGGATAGATAGTTATTCGAGATAGATACGCAGTTATAGGATACAAATATGCACTTAATTTCTTCAGGACATCTACTTGTTGGAGTGGGATACGTAGTTATATTTTCAAAATACATACTTACTTTGTTCAGTATACACGCTTGATGTCGTAGTTGACATGTGTGGGGTCGTTATCTTATTCTTTTCATATGATTTTAACTCATGATATTTTAATCATTAATGCTACTTTTTTGGTAATTCCTCGCTTTAAACTACGTTGGTTAACTTTTTACTAAATTAGCCCTACCTAATTGTAATTTTTATTGGAATTAGGAAATCATGATATTATATTTATAATAGTTTGTATAAAATCCGTGATTGCGTAAATCACGAATTTAGTGCCTTCATTATTTCGCTTTCTAGTTTGTAATATTAATTTATTATATATACATGGCTCTACCTCATTCAAAGGTAAGCCAATACAATTCTTTTCACTCTTTTTGGTATTAGAGCCAAAGAACAAAAACCCTAGCCCTTCTCTCACCTTTGCCGGCACTACCTAGCACCACCAACAACCCCTTTCTTCCTCCCTAAACCTCCAACAGTCTACCTACCCCTTCTAGACCACCCGACACCACCTGCCCACCCTTATTTTCCCCTTGGTAGGTCTCCATCACTCCTGCCGAGGCCTTTTTGGCTATCGACCAGGCCTCTCCCTGGTCCTAAGTGACTCGCCAACCCTTCTAGGGTGGTCCGGGTTCTCTTTTTCCCTTCTCGGGGTGTTGTGCTAATGTATTAAGCACCTTTTCATGTTCTCTTTATTCATTAGGCTATTGGGTTTGTTCGGTAGCATTTATTTGGGTAAGCAGTTGAGTTTTCCAGCTTCTTAAGTCCTTATTTGCAAACTGTGTTGCTATGTTTTATTCAACCTTTCTCATACCACCATGACTGAGCCACTTCCTACCATCTCTTCTGAGGTACAGGTATCAACAAAACTTGTTCCAGTTAGTTTTGATTTTTCTTTTTCTTATCACACTCTTGTCCATCGTACTATAATTGTGGTGTTGAATGGGAAACATTTTGCTGCTCGGAGCCGTTCCCTTAAACTCTATTTAAGGGGAAAGGGGAAGCTTTATTGGCTTTTATCTACTACTACCCAGCCAAGTGAGACAGACCCAACACGTGGCCAATGGGATATTGACAATTGTACTATCTTGGGATGGATGTTCAACTCCATGGAGGATAGGATTTATCATATATTTCTTTATTGT